AAGTTGCCAACATAAGATACCTACCATTATTATTTTAAATGTTTCTTGAAAAATACCTGTAGATGGCTTATGTCTTAGTTCATTCTATGCTGCTATAACAGAATACTTGAGATGGGGCCATTTATAAAGAAATTTATTTCTCATAGTTCAGGAGGCAGGGAAGTCCAAGATTAAGGCACCAGCATCTGGGTCTGGTGACGACTTTCTTACAGCATCCTCACATGGCAGAGGGAAAGCTACACTGAACTTCCATCAAGCAAGCCCTTTTATAAACTATCTAATATCATTCACAAGGGAGCAACCCTCATGTCCTACTCACCTCCTAAAGGGCCCCCTCTAAATACTAACATTGGCAACATCTGAATTTTGGAGGGGACACATTGGTACCATAGCAGCTTGAAAACAGTATGGATGGCTTAATAAGGAAAATCTATAATCCCCTGCTCAGCCTGTTCCCACTCACCGTCCCTTTAATCTCCTTTCCAATTTCTAATAATCATAGCACTATTTTAATTCCTCTATTATTACCTTCATAGACTTCAAAGTTGTATACATGAGTTTTTATACACATAAAATTACTTTTCCTATTTTACCAAATATGGACTGTCTTGATTCTTTACCGTATAATTAGGCAGCCAGTTGTCCAGCATTCTTAGTAAATAAATTGTTAGTTATTCAATGTCTAGAGTCTTGATAAATGCTAACTAATTGTGTTTAGTAATAAATTGCATCCTAATTTTATTTTTAAACAAATTTTTATTTAAGGCCCATTGCTTCAAAACTTTCATACAAAGTGTGTGTATATATATATATACACACACAACTTATTTCCCTACCAGAAACCAACAGTGATAATAACTAAATTTAAAACAAGAAGTCTTTTAACTTTTATTTCAAGTTTTTATTTAACAGGAGAAAAATATAAAATAAGAGTCTATTTCTCTGTTCCTAAAATTCCGAAAATAGGCAATTAAAAAGAATAAAATACTTTTAAAAATCAGTCGTATAATAGCATTTCAGAGAAATGGGAAAATGGGAAATGGTGAAATAAATAACATGAACATATTGACTCATGCCTCCTTAAAGGGTAGAATGATGTAAGCACAAAAGATTCCAGAGAAGAAAATGACCATACAAACTGAACAAAAGGTAAGTACCTAGAAACATGAAGAAAGATGCCTTGGTAACTCTTTAAGTTCATTTTAATATTTCCTTGTGAAAATAAATAATTGTTCCATACTTTAGTTGATTTGAGAACACCAGATTTAAAATACTGGATTTATAAAGTCAGTAAAATTATATTTGTGATTTGGAAAAATGAAAAAAGAAGTAAAGTCACTCTCCAAAAAAAAATAATAATAAATAAACTTGAAATTTAGGACAGATGACTAAGTAAATGCTTCAAGAGCAATTAGAAAATGCGTTATCTAGAAGTGCATGATGAAGAGCATGCAAATTGATCTGATAAAAGAAACAAAACACTTTTAATGATAATATTGTTGTATCTGCCCTAAAGTCTTATGTATTCAGTTTAATTAGAGGAAATATTGAAAACCCATAGTATTTATATGTTTTTCTCTTTTAAGAGAGAGCTGTAATAAAAATCCACCCCTAAATAGTCATGGATATATTATATAGTAAAGGATTTTCCATGCTTCTCCAATGGGAATTCACATAAATTCAGTGAAACTAATGCTTACTAGTAGTGCTTACCATAATTAAACTGTTTGCTCTCCTTTTGTGATTTTGTCACAGCATCATAGAGTAATCATTACATGCTTTATGATTCAGGCCCAACAACTTTCTATGGATCATGGATAAATTTGACTCACAAGTTGGAAGTAAACTTGAGAGAAGTCTCAGAAATTTCAGCAACATAACCCAAGAAATTTGATACTTCTTCCATCTAAATAAATTTCTAATTCCAAAAACTTCTTTCTTACCTTACAGTTTCAAAGCATGCATTATTTATTTGCTACTGTATATAGATTAGCAGGTTAGGGAGTTTGAGAAATATACTCTTTTACAATGCAGGGAGTACCATTTAGTGAACCTCTATAGTGTTTATTATCAGCATATGTTAATGATCAACAAAGTGTACCAATGAAATGGTACCCTAAGCTCAGTCTGCGTAATACGGTAAAGAAGGGAATTACCTTTGCCAATAAATCCCAGAAGAGTGAATGAATAATTTAGCTACAAAACATGGTCCACAAAATGAAGTTTGGGCCAAAAATGCTGTGGACTAGTGCTTTGTATGGGGAGTACTGGATAATTACCGGTATTCAGCACACTTCACTTTGTGTCCTTAGGTCAAGGCTAGAAGTTACTATCATATCAGATAATTCATCATGCTGTATACAATAAATCATCTAGCTATAAAAATTCTTATTTTCAAGATACTTGTATTGTGCCTAAAGTATGAGTATTAAGAAAGAGGAACCTCCAAAAAATTATTGTGCCACTGTGAAGGAATAGGTGCAGACTGTAAAAATTTGGTACATCTTGAAATGTAGGAAGGAAATTAGTTAGTAGTCACTGTAACTGGATTCATTCATTTGTTTGATTTGCTGATTGCTTGACTCTCCTACTTAAAATTATAATTCTTACCTGTTTTACTGGGAATTCTCTATTCCCCATCCTTTTTTCTTCTTAGATCATGGATAAATATATTTGATTTGTTTTACTCATTGTCTTTCTTCCCTCACTAGAATGCTGACTTTATGAGGGCAAAGATTTTTTTTCCCATTATATTAACTGCTATATTACAAAGCGAAAAGTCCTTAACTACAAGAAGAGAAAATAAATTCAATATTATTATTGAATTTATTAAATAAGTTTAAAGGCATAAGATGAAAATTTGGAAGCCATTTTAAAGGTTTAACTTGCTTAAATCTTCATCCAAATGATTAATTTTGTTTTGCTTTTAAATAATAGCAGGAAAAAAAAAAAACCACAGGAAATACATATAATGAAGAACTTTGAAGAAAAACCTACCCACCTAGCATATGCTATACCTTCAAACAATGTAACCTGCCAAAAAAGAAAAAATATATAAGCAGTTAGTCAAATATTTAACTGTGAATTTCACATGTTTCTTTGCCAGCATCCTTACCTGTTGAATTTTAGTTCAGCTACAAATGAATACAAAAGTCTATTCCTATAAATAGGAAAAAAACATATTTTATATACTTCTTAAGCACTGGAATTGAGGGAGAAATTATATCTCTGAGCTCCACTAAAAACTTGCAATAATTCAGTAAATTCTGTTTCATCACTTGGTACACATGCTCAGGGTTATAGTATACCTTTGAAAGTACAGGTGAGTGTGCTTTCCAAATTTGTCCTTTTTAATATGTCTTTTTATTGTAGAACAATTTTCTACTCTGCAGTTAATTAGAACAATAGTGATAGGCTATGTCTAGCTTTCATACTAAGAGCAACTTCTACATGACAGTAAATGTTAGCCTTAAATATATAGATAAAATGTTTCTTCCTAGATCTGGTCACAATATTTATTTAAAGTAAAAGAAGTTGTATTTAATGGTATTTTTTCTTCTTACTCTAACATTGTTGTATTAAAATTTTACACAAGTTTAGTTAAAATGCAAAAAAGCAATTTGCTTCTCATTTTTTAAAAACATGAGTGTTGCTATATAAAGCTCAATAGAGCAATAACTGATAAATGGTAGGTATTTCATTAATATACACTAATTGAAATTGCATGTTTTTTCATAAAATAATAGATTAATATTTCATCATAAAAACTAAGAAATACTGTTTCTTCTTTTATATTCATATGCCTTATCAGAAGTTTAAAATTTTGACATTCATAGGTAAGCAACATTTCAGATAATCACATTTAAATCTAGACTTCTTCAGGAAATACTAAAATAATTTGCCTTAATTATTAATAACTGTCAGTACTTTAAACATATTTAGTATTTTTTTATCAATTTATGTACTGGGAAATGTGTGCTACAAACATACTGAGATTTTACATCTTATAGTGGAATATTAATGCATGAATGAATACCCTGAAATGTAGGTTAAGCTAGCACAACAGATTCACTAGATACAGGATTTGCTTTGATTTTTCTTCATAGAAGAGCTGTTCAATTCAAACTGATCTATCTTCAGCATATTTCTGATCCCTTCTTGACTGCTTTTAGTATTTGTAATATGTCTAATCAGGTTGAAGTATGAAATCTATGATTGTAGAACAGTGTGTGTATTACTGCCCAATGTAAGTATTAAATCTATAATCTTGATTTTATTACAAAGAGTCTAACCCAAAGTTTTTGATACTCCTATTTTATAAAATTCTAGGATTTCATGAAATAATTTGCAGGTGAAGTAGACTTTGAAGTTTTCAATTTGATTTTTTCCATAATTTATGTGAGACTATTTTCTCCAAATCTAATTTATTTCTCCTATTCAATCCCCTATTTACTTCTATGCCCTCACCACCCTATATATTTTGACTACCAGTTATGTGGTATATCAGAAAATGAATAATGTAAGTGTTGCCACCTATAGGCAGAAAATTAATTATACTTGTTTATGATATAAAAGCATAATCTAAAAAAAGAATTATTTTTGTCAACTCCTACAACCACCCACCATCTTTAAACTTTTTACCTATTTATTTACCTATTTGCTTTTGATGTTGCCATTTCAGGTGCCTGTGCCTTAAAATAAAGCATTTGTTTCAAAGCTTTTACTGTTTTTTCATACTGCTATTTGCATTTACTATATCATCAAAATATACCTAAAGTTCTTTGACTTCACAAAGTTTGAAGAGACTTGTTAAAACCAACTAATTTAAGTAGTCATATACTAAACTGTTATATCTCAGTTTACTTCTAGGATGGGGAAAATTACTAATATTTGTTCCCAGGAATGAAAAAGCATCCCTTCCTACAAGCTATTATCATTAGTCTTTGGTTTTGTGCCTTCTCTGTAATGATACAGGTTTGTTTCTCCTTTATTCTTTGCAGAGTGCTGCAGCAGCTCCCAGTCCAGTGCTAGGAAACATTCCCCCAGGAGATGGCATGCCAGTAGGTCCTGTACCACCAGGGTTCTTTCAGGTACTCAGAGAAACTCTGACTAGGAATGTTAAGGCATAGGAACTCCTGTTTGATTTTATTAAAGATATGAAGGAAGATGAGGCTATTTTAATTCTTAAGATAAACAATAATGTGTAGCTAACTCTTGATTATTCAGACTGGTTATCTATTATATCGCTTTCTTCTTATGTTTTATTTGTTGTTAGATTATATATTTATTTACTTAGTCATTTTGTTGTTCAATTAAGAAAGAAAAGGAGTTGAGAAATACAAATTGGCCCATTAAATTAATTGTGGTAAATATTTTGTGGGAGAACAGACTAAATATGAGGTTCTGGAAAGAGATGGATATTTAACTGTATAAGCTATCCATATCCCTACAGACAGGATAATCAAGATTTGGCTGCACTTTCAAAATATAGCTAAATTATAATCTATTAATTTATCGAGAATTACAGGCTATATCAAAATATGTTTAAGAATTATCTCTGGGGCTTTTAAGCTGGAATTTGTATTGATATTATATAATATTTTAAGATCAGATTTCAAATATATGTGAGTATTCTTAAATTTTAATAAGACCAATTATTTTAGCAATGATGATAACAATTTTACAATGACAATACATTATTTAACTTATAAAAATTTTACAGCATCCACTTCTTAAATCTGACATTTTCTAACTCTAACCAAAATAAATTCTGAAATTTATTTTTAAATTAATAATAGTTAATTTTATAATACCCTTTGAAAAAATTAAGAACTTAGGAGCTAAGAACTAGAGTTGAAAAGCATTACAGGACCTCAGGTAATATGCTGTATTATTAATGAATTACATTAGGTACTTATAAACTAATTTGTCACTTCAGTTTTGTATTTTCAGAGTTTTTCATAGTCATTTGTTAGCTAATTCACACCATTATTGCAGGGTCATCAATATACTTATAAATGTGAAAATAAAGAAATAAAATTGTAAATAATTTTCCAAAATATGTCAATTGAATCAAAAGGTCTTAGTTAAAACAGAGTTCTGACTCCAGACCTTTAGGACATGCTTATATGTTCAGCTACTCTGTATTAATACACAAGTAGTTCAGAAAAGTCTTCTTAGAGCTCACATTCTGTCATGGGGCCCCTTTCCTATAATCTAGAAATAGACTATAACTTGATTATTAATTAAACCACCATCATTTAAGATACTGATAATAAAAGTTAACACTTAATAACTGCTCACTATATACCATGCTTCATTCTAAATGCTTTACATATATAAACTGTAATCCTCACAATACCCCTAGATGTAAATAAAGTATGTATTATTATCATTCCCACTGTACAGATGGAGAAACCAAGGCATTGATAGCTAAGTGATTTACACAAAGTCAGAAGGTTACAGGGCTTGGATTCAAATCAAGGTAGTCTGGACTTTTGCCATCGAATTTATCTTTTAAGGCTTATAGTTGATTTTCATGAAATATTTCCAGTTCATTTTATTTTTTTCTTATTCCCTTATTTGTCTTGCCAAAGATGGGTAGGAGTTAACAGAGTAAATCAGAAGAATATATATTTCGTCAGAAGAGAGTTACTGAAAGTCTCTAAGAGACACTTTTGAAAGAGGGAGCAGGTTGGGGAGGAAGCCAGATTCTTTCATTCTAGGGTTAAGCCAAGATGTATAGATCCATACACTTTCATTTTCACATTTTGTGGAATGAACCATTCTCCCCTTACCTATCTTCTGTCTCAAAGTCTCAGTAAGAGCCATTGAAACAGCTTTTAGTTTTTCCAATGTGATAAATATTTTGAGTACTGCTATATGCCAGGCACTGTCATAGGCATCTAAAAATGAGCAGGTGTAGTGCGTACCTTCCTGAAGCTTACTGTATAGCCCGTAAGGCATTATTAAAAACAATTAACTATAGTAGAGTGAAATATGTGTGGTAAAAGAGTAAAGTTTAAAGTTCTGTGATGACCTAGATGAGAGAGCCATTAAATCTGTCTGAGTTGGAGATAAGAGTAGTATGGAAAACCTTGTCCACCAAAGTAAGCAGAGGAATTACATTTCAGAAAGTCAGAACAGTATAAGCAAAAGTGTGACTGCATCAAAATTATCTGTGCAGAGGTGTTCAGAATAATACATACAGAAGGTAAGGGGGAGGGTAGGCCGGAGTTCCAAGACATGAAATTGGAAAGATATGCTGTAGCATGGCACATGTTAAGAACTTGAGCCTATTCATTAGGAACCATCAGAGCTCTTTAGGAAGGGCAATGACCTGAATTCTTACCATACAGTGGATTCAGGCTCTGTGAGCCACCTGTGGGAGGGTTGTGTACAAAATCCCTGCCCTCAAAAACCCCTACAATGTGATGAATGAGAGAAGAGGCCATTACAGTATAGAAAAAAAAAATGGCTGTAGATAATGGATGAAGTGTGGTCTTAGAGCAAATCAGAAGACCACCAAACCAAATCTTGGGAGATGCATAGTCAGAAAAGCATTATCAAAATAGTAAATGAAATCTAATTTGGCACTTAAGGATGAGTTACAAGTTAGGCAAAGGAAAAGAGGGGAAGAACTCTAGGAAGAAAGAAAGAATTTACAAAGACCCAGAGTGAAAAGAAGAGAGAGAGAGACCAAGGAAAACTGAAACTTAATTAGCTAAAGGGAGAGTAGCTGGTGATAAGGCTTGAGAGGGACTATAAGGGCCTTGTAGGTTAGTAGAGTTTGAACTTGATCCTAAAGGCAGTAGTAACTACTGGAGGACTTTAAGCAGGAGACAGACATGTTCATATTTGCATTTTTAGAAAAATCACTCCAGCTACATTGTGTAGACAGAATTGCAGAGGAACAAGTCTGAAGATAGGGAGATAATTTAGGAGTCTTTTACAGTACTCCAGTGAAATTTAATGATGGCCTTAACTACTAAGTATGGAGAGATGTGAATAGATTTGAGAGACAGATAAATGCAAGATAATGCAAAATAGGAGAATTCAAGGATAATATTCTTGTTTCTGGCTCTAATCTGGGCAGATGTAGGTACCATTTTCTGAGCTTAGAGACCACAAAATGTAAAATAGTTTTGAAGTGGGACAGATGAGGTTCCCATGAGTCCTCCAATTAAACATGTCTATTAAGCTGATAGATCTGTCCTAGGTTTGAGATTTAGGACAGTAATCTAAACTAGAGATAAAAATTGCAGGACCATATAATATTAAGGATACTTGAATCCTCAGGGGTAGATGAATTGTCCAAGGAGAAAGTACAGAATGAGAGGGTAAGAGAACATACAACTGAACTACAAAAAACACTAATATTTAAAAGATGAACAAAAGAATAAGCCATTATGAATGCAGCAGTGTTAGTAGGTTGGCTATGATAGCAGCTCAAAGAGGAGACTTTCTGAACTGATTCAAGATCAGTGGTAGTAGAATTAGAAAGGAATAAACAGTTCATAGTTATGTTTGATAGGCCTTAATTAACCAAAGTTAGGATAGAAGAGAGAGACAAGAATCAAGGATAATTCTGAGATTTCTATTTTGGGTCTCTGGATAAGTTTAGTGTCTTTATCTGAGTAATGAAAGACAGGAGATTGAAAAAGTTTCAGATATATTCGAATTTGATACACAAATCATTCCTGTTAATCTAGGCAAAGTATTTCAGCTAATCCCAAGTACTTTTTTCCTCTATTCAACATTTAAATATGTCTCCCTAAGGCGGAGGTTGCGGTGAGCCGAGATGGCGCCATTGCACTCCAGCCTGGGTAACAAGAGTGAAACTCCGTCTCAAAAAAAAAAATAAAAATAAAAAATAAAAAATAAATATGTCTCCCTAGAAATGCCTCTCTAAAATATTAAAAAACTCAAAGTATCAAAATTTTTAAAAAGACATGTGATATTACTATCTTTTGGTACCTATGATGATGGGATCAGATGACTCAAGCATGTCCTAAATATCAGCATTGGTTTCCTGCAGTTACTGAACTAGTGTGATTCTGGCCATAGTGTCAAAATACATATAGTTAATGAGGAGTAGCTGCCTTCCATGAATAGAAATAGCACCAGACAATAATAATTCAAATTCAGACTCCAGCTTCTAATCCAGTTCCAAAGAAATGTTGACTTCCAAGAGTGATCCAAATCTGGAGAAGCTGGAATGAGTATCAGTTCACAGTTCAGAGACTCTAATACCCAAGATCAGGCACAATCCTGATTATTAGTTCAGTACAAGGCAAGGAGGAATGGAAGCAACTGGAAAAGAACTGGGTGTGGCTCCTTCAAGTAACAAGGCCCAGAAGGCTGGCTAGGATAGAGACTCAGATTCTCCAAAAATCCAGACTCAAGTACCAGGGAATTCCTGGTTCAAAAGAGACTTAGACAAAAGAGTGCTAAATAGTTTTTCCAGCCTCTCCTGGTTGCAGCTACTAAATTCTGAAGGGTGATTACCTCCTGTTGCCTTTGACCTTTTTAGATAATGAGAATATTTTATATTTATATTCTTAGTAAATGCAAAGCTTATTTGGAGATAGCTTGTATGGACTAGACCGAAAAAGGATCTCCCCTTTTAGAATTAGTGAATAAATAAAAGTAAAGAATAATAATTTATAATTAGCAAATCAGGCCCCAGCCTAAGTAGTTCTGAGCTCTACTTACTTTGTGATCATACTGTAAAAAATACATTGAAACATTTCTCCTAAACAGACAAACATACTGTTTTTTTTCCTGTTTACATTAAGAACAAGCTCCCGCTTCCATTACAAGAATAGACTTAAATTCGTTAGCAAGTGGAATGATCACAAACTCTGAACTTGTGAATCTGTAACAACTACATTTGAAAAATAGCAATGAATAAAACTCTAAAATAAATAATTATGGTATAACTTCATATACTTAATAAGTCCATTCTGGAAGACAGTCTTTAATGTCTATTTGTGACATTGTTCATATTTAAACTTTGATGTTTTTATTGAAATGAGAGAGCCTCTGTTGCTGAGTAGGAAATCAATTGAGTAAAATCAGTGGGACTAGT